TTTAAATTTTGTATGTATTGTTTTTTATTCTGGCTGTTCACCGCCCTGCGTCCTATTTTGGAGAAGGGCGGTATAGAAATTTAAATAATAAATAAATAAATAATTTTAAATAATAAATTATATCTATGGAGCTTCTCAGTCATCCAGGTCATGGTTGTCCCAAAGTTGCTTTTTCCAAATTTTCTTGGTGTTTTTTCCCCCCCCTTGAAAATGTTTTGCTTCTCATCAAAGAAGCTTCTTCAATTCTATTGAAGGCAAGTGGACTTTCTAAGTTTTGTCTTTGAAAATGTTTCACTTTTCATCCAAGAAGCTTCTTTAGTGGAACTGGCCTACATGTGATCTTGATTCTAACCAGTGGTGGGATTCAGCCGGTTCGGGATGGTTTGGGCAAACCAGTAGTTAAATTGATGGCTGGTCCCACTCCTTCCTGCCCCACTCCTTCCAGGGGTCCCCACGCACCCCACTTTGGCTCTCAGGTAAATCCAGGGAGGCCTCCTAGGCCCAAAATGGCATGTGGGGCACGCCTCCTTCCCCGCAGCCCGTTTTTGCTCCCAGTGGGGTGCAGGAGGCTAAGTGCTGCCTGTCACACGCCCACAAATCCACACCCACAGAATCGGTAGTAAAAAAAAAATTAATCCCACCACTGATTCTAACCCTCTGTTAATGCAGCTGGTGTTGGCTTTTTTGGCAGCTGCAGCACACAGATCATATGAGATCCCAGCTACAGCATAGACCTGACTGAAGATAAACCAGGAGTTTTTCAATTACTGAATTGCTGTATTCCATGGAGACAGAAGTCATATTTTAGAAGTTTAGGAAATAGCAAGTTTAATAAAATGTTTTCAAAGAAAAAAAAATCAAGAAAGTCTACTTACCTTTTGGAAAAAGTATCTTTGGGACATTAACTATATCCCACTTATCCAGAAATAAATTGCACACTGGCTCAAAGTTTAATCAGTATTTTGGGGGGTTTTTTGGCAGCAAAGATACAAAGAGTATTTATGCAAAAAAAAAATTAAAAATTGCACATTGTGTATCAGTCTTCTGTGACCTCATGCCCTATGGAAGTGTTCTCACAAATTACAGTCCATGTTGGGAATTTTGAGAGATCTCATTCAAATCATACAGTGTACATCAAATTGGAAAGGATTTGATAATTGTTCACCTCTGTACGTAGCTTTGAGCCACTTGGAGCAATGAGCAAATGTGGTTCATACGTAATATGATAATATATTAATTTGTCCTGCTTTTCAGTCCTGCTTACAGTAGTTGTATCAACAACCTTTTTAGACCAACAGAAAACAAAATCAAAATCAACAAAGATTTTGTATCAACAAAGATAATAAAGGGTCTGGAGCAGGGGTGAAATCCAGCAGGTTCTGACAGGTTCTGGAGAACCGGTAACAGAAATTTTGAGTAGTTCGGAGAACCGGTAGCAGAAATTTTGAGTAGTTCAGAGAACCGGCAAATCCTACCTCTGGCTGGCCCCAGGGTGGGGAAGGAATGGGGATTTTGCAGTATCCTTCCCCCGGAGTAGGGTGGGAATGGAAATTTTGCAGTATCCTTCCCCTGCCATGCCCACCAAGCCACACCCACAGAACTGGTAGTAAAAAAAATTGGATTTCACCACTGGTCTGGAGGCTAAGTTGTATGATGAATTCAAATCTCATCAGGATCAAGGTTGACTCAGCCTCCCATCCTTCCGAGGTGGGTAAAATGAGGACCCAGATTGTTGGGGGGCAATAGGCTGACTCTGTAAACCGCTTAGAGAGGGCTGTAAAAGTACTGTGAAGCGGTATATAAGTCTAAGTGCTATTGCTATGAATGGTTTAGAGAGCTAAGTATGTCTCGCCAATGGAAGGGAAGGATTGTGGGGACCTGATCACTGTCTTCCAATACTTGAGGGGCTGTTTCAGAGAAGAGGGGATGGACTTAATCTCCAAAGCACCAGAAGGCAGGACAAGAAGTATTGGGTGGAAGTTTGTGAAAGAGTAATAAGGAAAAATTTTCTGACCGTGAGAACAATTAATCAATGGAACAGCCTCCCTCCCAAAATTGTGGATGCTCAATCACTGGAGGTTTTCAAGAAAGAATTGGACAACCATTTATTTCTTTATTTATTCATTTCATTCATTCATTCATTCATTCATTCATTCATTCATTCATTCATTCATTCATTTTATTTATGAAGCTTATATGCCGCCCTCTCTCCAGAAAGGACTCAGGGTGGCTCACAGCAATAAAAACAGATAAAATCAATATTAAGTGTTAAAAACCATTAAAACTCCCCTTAAAACCCCCTGGGAATTTATATAAGGCCTGCTGCCTTGAGCAGGGGTTTGGATAGAAGACCTCTAGGGCAGTGATGGGATTCAAATAATTTAACAACTGGGTCTCTGTCCTAATGACCGGCTCGGTGGGTGTGGCCATGGTAGGCATGGCCAGAGGATGTGACAGGCAGCACTTGGCCTCCTGCACCCACTGGGAGCAAAAATGGGCTGCTGGGGGGACATGCTGTGCCCCTGCACCCCATTTTCGGCCTAGTACGCCTCCCTACAGCCTCCTGGGAGCAAAAATGGGACACGGGGGCCCCACACCACCACTCCTGTACCCTGTTTTGGGCCTAGTAGACCTCCCCAAAGCCTCCTGGGAGCTAAAATGGGCTGTGGGGGGGCGCATCGGCCAGCCTCGCCCCGTTTTGGGCCTAGGAGGCCTCCCTGAAGCCTCCTGGAAGCAAAAATGGGCCATGGGGGGGGACTCCTGGAAGGGGCAGGGCCAGCAGCAATTTAACTACTGGCTCGCCCGAACCGGCCCGAACCAGCTGAACCCCACCACTGTTCCAAGGTCTCTTCCAGCCCTATGATTCTAGTTTATAAACCTAGGTAAAAGATTTGACTGTTCTTAGGAAGATGGCCTTGTTAATAATGGTAGCAATTCTCCAGAGGTTCTGACAGAGTTTTTGTTCTTTCAGTTGTATCTAATAATGCTGCGAATTTGAATTGAAATCTTTTCCATGCAGAATTGGTTCTCTAACCTTGGCCCGAATCTTTGGCAGCAGATATTAAATCCAGACTTCTGGTGAAATTCTCTTTTCTCTCTAGCACTCTCAGCTGGACTTGAAAAACAGTTTTTAAATTTATGTGACTTTTTCTCGTGGCATTTCACAGCAACTTGAAAATAGCTACATGTCAACCAGTGGAATTTGCCAGGTCTGTTCAGAAAATCACTCCATCAATTTTTGTTGTCTGTGATTGCCAATGGTTAGTGCCTCTTGTTTGTTCAGTATCAGTTGGCAAATCGTTAAATACCAAAGTTGAGTCGCTGGCTAATTGAGACCTAGCATTGGATTGTGATATGTACAAATTTTCATAGTTTATAAGCCAGGTTCTCCTGCAAGAATGTGTAAACAGATAGAATTGCAAGCAGCTTCCAAGATACTTTGTCCAGGAAAAATCCAGTGCTACAACTTCCCAAATGGATGGCTGGATGAGGACAATTTAAAATAATATTGTATCAATATTACTGTTTCATTATAATCTACATCAGGGGTGCTAGTCAGCAAATTCTGACAGGTTCTGGAGAACCGGTAGCGGAAATTTTGAGTAGTTCAGAGACCCGGCAAATACCACCTCTGGCTGGGCCCAGAGTGGGGTGGGAATGGAGATTTTGCAATATCCTTTCTCCAGGAGTGGAGAGGGAATGGGGATTTTGCAGTATCCTTCCCCTGGAGTGGGGTGGGAATGGAGATTTTGCAGTATCCTTCCCCTGCCACACCCACCAAGCCATATCATGCCCACTAAGCCACACCCACAGAACTGGTAGTAAAAAAATTGAGTTCCACCACTGATGTACATGCCTCCATTATTACGATGTACAGGTAATCCTTGATTTACAACCATTTGTTTAGTGATTGTTCAAAATTACTACGGCGCTGAAAAAGTGACTGATGACTGTTTTTCACGCTTGCGACCATTGTAGCATCCCCATAGTCACGTGATCAAAATTTGCTCGCTTGGCAACTGGTTCATATTTATGACGGTTGCAATGTCCTCGGGTCATGTGATCATCTTTTGCGACCTTTTGACAAGCAAAGTCAATGGGGAAGCCAGATTCACTTAACAACTGTGATTCCTTGGTGCCACTGATTCTGAAATGAACTTAAAGCCAAATCATTCAGAATTACCAAACAATGTACTTCAAATTCAGCCTTAAGTAAGCATGGGTATTTTTTTTTCCTGAGAACTCATTTTAAATTCTCTGTATATAATATATATAAAGTAGCTCAGAGCCGCATGGAAAATAATTTTTTAGCCTGGAGGTGAACTGCCATAGGTATCAAATTAATTTAGGCTTAGAGCATATATTTTATTCATTTATTGGCTCCACAATTGTAGAAAATCATGTTGCGTTACTTGGCAGTTTCCTGAAGTTTAAACTTGGGGGTGGTACTGGAAGTAGAATTGTATTTAGCATGGATTTCTTGCCACTGACATAAGTATCTTTTACAAGGAGGAGAAGAGGGAGAGGAGGAGGAGGAGGAGGAGGAGAAGAGGAGGAGGAGGAAAGGAGCAGAGGAGGAGGAAGAAGAAGAAGAAGAAGAAGAAGAAGAAGAAGAAGAAAAGAAGAAGAAGAAGAAAAGAGAAGAAGAAGAAGAAGAAGAAGAAGAAGAAGAAGAAGAAGAAGAAGATAATGAGTTTCAGATTGACTTCATTCAACGGAGACTCTCTAATTTAGTCACTTACATTGTCCAGAAATTTGGTTGTGCAGTCTAGGAATTCTGAGTGTTGTAGCACATTAGATATTTGAGAATATCTGCTTGGGGTATTATTGGCCATAAGAGTTCTGGGCATTCAAATGTTGGCTAAAAGTTCTTGGGGGTTGTATTGTTTTCTAGGAATGTTGTGGATTGCAACCCCAAGATGTCCAGAAAACATCAGGAACCGGCTACTATAACTCATTCTTCTCCTTTTCTTGTCTTTTGCCCCCCCTCCCCCATTCAGGACAACATCAACATTGAGGAAGCTGCTCGGTGCTTGGTGAAGCACATAATTTCCAGCAACAGTGAACCTGGGCAGCCTATCAAGCCAGATGTCATTAACCTTCACCTGAATCCCTCCAAACGCCATCCCTGCTCAGCTTGTTTCAGAACCTAAGCCATCTCCAAGTTGTTTATGGACATTGGAACTGAGCCCATAAGAACTCATGAATAACCCATGAAGCAGGATCTCTCCAATGCAAGGCAGTTGCTCTTGAACAAACAGAAACCAAGATTAGAAAATGTGTATCCTTCCTCAACATATGGCTGGGAAGAAAAAAGAAAAAAGCCCAAATGTTTAAAACAAATATTTTTTTATTATTATTCCTTCGAGTAGTTTCTTCGAGAATCTTATGCAAATAGGGGTTAGTACCTGGGTAATTTATGTTAATTATATTTGCTCAGCCAAAGTGCTTTCCTTAAAAAACTAAGGTGTCTGAACATATTGTTTGTCACTTTCATGGTGTGAGAGTTAACTCTCTTGAAGATCAGGGGTGAAATGCTACCAATTCGCTCCAATTCGGGCGAACTGGTAGCGGCGGTGTGTGATTCGGTGAACCGTCGCGGCGGCAGTGCAAGGCTCCGCCCACCTGCCCGGACATTGTTACTTCCTGGTTTTAACCAGGAAGTAACCTGTTTTTGACCCTCTGTGCATGCGCAGAAGACTTTGCGCATGCGCAGAGGGTCCAAAATCTAACGTGAAGATGTGGCGCACACACTTCCGAACCAGTAGGGAAAGTAAGTAGATTTCATCCCTGTTAAAGATGGCTACCTTGAAGATTTTCTCATCGTGCATCTCAGTCCTTGTAAATCTTGGTTTAATGGTGTGTTTCCATGAATCTCTAACTGGAGAGAAACTGACATAACCTCAACATGGTATAAAGTTAAACCTGACATTCTTCCTGAACGCATGTATTGTAAGCCCTCAATTTACAACCGTTTGTTTCATGACCCATTCAAAGTTACAACGGCACTGAAAAAAGTGACTTATGACCGCTTTTCATACTTAGGATCGTGGTGGCATCCCCATGGCCACATAATCAAAATTCAGACATTTGGGCATTTTACTTATATTTATGATAGTTGCAGTGTCCCAGGGTCATGTAATCAGCTTTTGAGATTTTCTGACAAGCAAAGTCAATGGGGAAGCTTGATTCATTTAACAAATGTGTTACTAACTTAACAACGGAGATGATTCACTTAACAACTGTGGCAAGAAAGGCCGTAAAATGGGACAAAGCTCTCTTCACAAATATCTCCCTTACCAACAGAAATTTTGGGCTCAGTTGCAATCATAAGTTGAGGATTTAGCTATATTGAGCCGCGGTGACGCAGTGGTTAGAGTGCAGTACTGCAGGATGCTTCCGCTGCCTGCCGGCTGCCTGCAATTTAACATTTCAGATCACACCAGGCTCAAGGTTGACTCAGCCTCCCATCCTTCCGAGGTGGGTAAAATGAAGAGACAAATTGTTGGGGGCAATAGGCTGACTCTGTAAACCACTTAGAGAGGGCTGCAAAGCACTGTGAAGCGGTATGTAAGTCTAAGTGCTATTGGGAAGGAAGGGAGGGAGGGAGGGAGGGAGGGAGGGAGGGAGGAAGGAAGGAAGGAAGGAAGGAAGGAAGGAAGGAAGGAAGGAAGGAAGGAAGGAAGGAAGGTTCAATCCTGACCAACTCAAAGTTGACTTCCTTTCTTCCAAGGTGCGTAAAATGAGGACCCAGATTGTTGGAGTCAATATGTTGCCTGCAATTTAGCAGTTCAAATCATACCAGGCTCAAGGTTGACTCAGCCTCCCATCCTTCTGAGGTGGGTAAAATGAGGACCCAGATTGTTTGGGGCAATAGGCTGACTCTGTAAACCGCTTAGGGAGGGCTGTAAAAGCACTGTAAAGCGGTATATAAGTCTAAGTGCTATTGCTATTACTCTGGGCCATTATTCACAGATTCGGAATAAGAAAATAGTGAATACAGAAGTATGGCTATCCTTTCAGCCAACCTCTTTCACAGAAATAACAGCTTCCAAGAGTGTCCTGCAGTCAACGTAGAATCTTTCTAGACTTGCTTGTAAAACAGAAGTGGGGAACTATGGCCGTGGGCCAAGGGTCTCTCAAAGTAATTCCCACATACCGTTACCAAAACCCGATCAGTTTGGGGGGTGGGGGAGACAGCTGTAGCAGAAATTCTTCTTCTCTTTTTTTTTCAAATTTTATTGATTTTTTTATTAATTACATTTCTTAGTGCTTAATAAACATTGTGTTGTCTGGGTATTTAATTTGCTTAACAATTCTGATTATATTCTTAATCTTTTTTCCAACCACTGGTAAAATACATTCCATGTTTGATAGTATTCTGTGTCTTCTTTCTGCTTAATTTTTCAATGTCAATATATCCATTTCTCCACAGTCTAGTGCCGTGATGGCGAAGGTGGCACGCAGAGCCCTCTCTGCGGGCACGCGAGCCGTCACCCCAGCTCAGCTCCACCACACAGGCACGTGCACCTCCCGCCAGCCAGCTGATTTTTGGGTCTCTGCCACACATGGGGGGGTCCATGCGGGAGTTGTGGGCGCATGTGTGAGGGGATGGGGGGTCACGGGCACAGGTGTGGGGGTAGGGGGAGTGCAGGGGTGCGGAGTGCCCCCCCCGCAGCCCATTTTTGGTCCCAGGAGACTGCAGGGAGGCCTGGTAGGCCCAAAACGGAGCACAGGGGGGTTGTGTGCACATGTGTGGGAGGGCGGGGGTAGTGCGGGGAGGGTCACGAGCACATTGCATTATGGGTGCCAGCACACATGCGCACACTGTCGCACACGCGCACGCTTTTGGCACGCGATGACAAAAAGGTTAGCCATCACTGGTCTAGTGTTTTCTTTTTTTAAAAAAAAAAATAAATTTTATTAATTTTTCCAAGTTTAAAATCAACATAAGACAAAAACATTGATTATACATAACAACAAAAACCATACATTCCCCTCCCTTCCTCCCCCATTCATAACACTAAACATACAAACACATCTATCCCGGCAGATAATGTTCCTGTCTTCATTAATAAATAATTATGCCCACAACACAGAATAAAGTAAATAATCTCCAAATATGGTTTTCATACAATTATCTTTCAATCTAGATAAGTATATCTCTCCTCATATTGACTTAGGCCCTCACTTCATCTCAATCCTTTTATTCAACCACCGATACCAACTGTCCCAACTTTGAAAAAATTCAGAATCCTCCTTTTCTTTCAACATATACGTCATTCTATCCGCCTCAGCGCACTCTAATACTTTATTTATAATTTGGGCACTAGCCGGTATCTCTTTTTCTTTCCACTGTTGGTCGAACGCTATTCTAGATGCGGCTAAAATATGTAGAGTGAGACACCATTTTTTCTTACTCAGCCCCTCTGGGCGAATACCTAGTAAATATATCTCAGGTTTCCATTGGAGGTCCACATTAGTAATTTCCTTAATCCAATTCCTAATCCTTCTCCAATCCTTCTTTGCCATTATACAAGTCCAGTATAATGGTCTAGTGTTTTCTTAATTATCTCTTCATCTTGCAGTGTTTCTTCATTTTCCCGGTACTGTGCGAATATAACCCTCTCTGCTGTTACAACATGTAATATTAAATATCTGTACATACATACTAAGAGATTATTCTTAGTGTTCCAGATTGGCTCCTGATTTCAACAGTTTCATGAACTTCCATTCCCAAACACTGTTTTTTTAAATTGATGGCCAGAAACATTTAGATATTTTTTTGAATAGCTTTCTCATGCTGTAAGAGGGAAGAAATATATTCATTTTCAGAAGCTGCTTAGAAAAACCCACAGCTGCTGTATGTAGACAGAATTGTTGGAAGAAATGTCCTTCTAAAGTAGGTAAATGCAGCGGGTCCAGCTGGATGATCACTGAAGAGCCCTCTTTATTGTAAGAAAGAAAATGTGCTTGTTTAAGGGAAGCCAATTAACCAGATGAAAGGCAGAGTATTCCTTTGAAGTAGAAACATTTACAGAGGGACCCCTCAGTTGTCAGAGATACAAGCATTTGGTGATATACAGTTGAAGGATAAAGAGATCAAGAATGACCACATGTAATATCAACAAGAGATAATTTGAATCTATGCTTCAGTAATTGGCAAAAAAAGAATTATGAATGTTGGCAGAGAATAATATGAAACAGTAATTAGGAAGTGTCAATTAAAAATGACACTTCTGGGTTCGGATCCAAGTGGGGAGAAAGATACTGGAAACATGGGGGCTGCTTGGAAAGATGGTTTTAATGGTGGACAGGATCACATGCCTTGAAGAAGTTGGGTGAAGAGAAAAAAAGGGAAGAGATGCTGAGAGTGCCTGAGTTTTATACCCTCTCTGGAGTTTTTGATTTTGAGCTTGCATTCTGATTGGTTGTCAGACTCCCATGGGGCCATGCAGGGGGCAACTCTGTAGGTTGTCCTGAATCCCAAGTTTGGTTGACTTTTGCTGGGTGATGATATAATGAAAGAGGCTTTGGGCAATTCCTGTTATGGCTCTGCCTGAAGGAGGTAGATCTTTGTTATGTAGAATAGACTGGCCCAGGCCTTAATGGCCCATTGACAACGGTGGGGGGGGAGGTGAGTTTCTGCCTCCCTTTTAAGGGAAATATTCTGCCCTTTTAATATTTCCTAAAATATCTCATTTTCCTAGGAGATGAGTGGGTGCTAACTTCCTACAGAACAGTGGTGGGTTCCTCCCGGTTCGGTCTGGTTCGGCCCAGCCGGTAGCGGTGACGATATGACGTCACCGAACCGGTTCTCCCCCCCACCCCCCCACCCCACCCCCGTTATTCTTACCTTTTATTTGGTCCCACCCCCAATCTATTGCTGAGTCCCAGCTGATGACTAGAGGGAAAAAAACTGTTTAAACTCTTGCCGCGGGGCTTCAAAGGGCCGCCCTACAGCTGATCAGTGTTAAAAGCAAACAAATGAGTCGGGTCGTAAGTGTGAGGACTGGTCGTAAGTGCGAGGACCTTCCAGAAATGACTCTGACCAGCTAGCCACGCCCACCTAGTCACATGACCTCCAAGCCACACCCACAAAATAAGCCACGCCCACAGAACCGGTAGTAAAAAAATTTAGAACCCACCCCTGCTACAGAACAATATTAAGACTCTGAAAAGTTGGAAGGATCTGACTATTTCTTCTGCCAAATTGTCTGCGCCTAGATCATGGTAGACTTACTAAGTCTTTGAGGGCCTTATTAATAGTTTTAAGAGTTTTTTTTTAAAAAAAGTACTGAATTAACTGGAAGGATGTCCAAATCTCTACACCTGCCACATTCGCTGTTTTCTTATTTTGAATCTGCAAGCAATTGCACATAAATAATAAGTCTGCATTTGCAGAAAGTTGCTGCGCTTATCTCTCACTGTGTAGAAAGGCAGTGTCAGCTTCTGTTCACTTAAGGATTCAATGAAGCATACAATTTGACCAGAGCTGCTTAAACCTTTGTATGCAACGCTATCTACAAAAAGCAACAACAATAATGGAACTGAATATTTTCATGGCAATTTGGAGATACGGATGATGGAGTGGTTTGCAATAATTTTTCTAGGGATTTTTTAAGGAAGGGTGTAGAATATCTATTTTGCATGGCAGCCCAGTGAAGAATGCTATATTCCAGTAGCATTGTCCACTATTTTGATGGCTCATTTTGGTATTCGCGGGCCGACGGAGGGAGAAATAGCATCCTTCAAATTATTTGAAAACGTGTCACAGAGAATAAAATCAAGATATGTAATCTATTATCCCAGAGGTTAAAAAAAAACTTTAAAAAAAAATCTAAAGTTTGGAAAGGCATGCAAATTAAAACATCATTATCCATAAAAACAATTTGAAAGAAAAGAATAGAATGGAATGGAATGGAATGGAATGGAATGGAATGGAATAGAATAGAATAGAATAGAATAGAATAGAATAGAATAGAATAGAATAGAATAGAATAGAATAGAATAGAATAGAATAGAATAGAATAGAATAGAATAGAATTCTTTATTGGCCAAGTAAAGGAACAAACAAGGAATTTGTCTTTGATGCATATGCTCTCAGTGTACATAAAAGAAAAGATACGTTCATCAAGAATCATAAGGTACAACACTTAATGATAGTCATAGGGTACAAATAAGCAATCAGGAAACAATATCAATATAAATCGTAAGGATACAAGCAACAAAGTGGAAGCATTTACCAAATATGCTTAGTCCTCAAGTTATAACCATAATGGGAGTCAGAAAATTCATTGTTAAGTGAGGTAACGCACGACTGCACCCCATTACAACCTTTCGTGGCCACAGTCGTTAAGTGAATCCTGTGGTCGTGAAATTGAATCTGACTTTCTCCATTGGCTTCGCTTGTCAGAATCCAGCTGGGAAAGTCACACATTGTGTTCACGTAACTGCAGGATGCTGCAACTGTGGTCAAAGCCAGCCAGTTGCCAAGTGCCCAGATTGTGATCGCATGAATCCGCGGTTGATGTGAAGGTCATAATTTCGAGAGCGGGTGGTGAGTCACTTTCTTCAGCACCGTCATAACTTCAAGCCATCATTGAA